GAGAGAGAGAGAGAGAGACAGTGCATGAGTGGCAGATGGGCAAAGAGAGAGAGGGAATCTGCAAGAGTCTCCAGCCTCCAAGCTGTCAACACAGAGCCCAATACAGGGCTCGAACCCACAGACCATGAGATCATGACCTGAGCCAAAGTGGGAGCTCAACCAACTGAGCCACCCAGGTGCCCCAATAAATAAACAATTTTTAAAAATGGGTAGAAGACACGAAGAGACACTTCTTCAAAGAAGACATCCAGATGACCAACAGGCACGTGAAAGGGACTCGGCATCACTCCTCATCAGGGAAACGCAAATCAAAACTATAAAGACATATCCCCTAACACCTGTCAGCATGTCTGAAAGAGAAAACACGAAAACAAGTGTTGGTGAGGATGTGGGGGGAAAGGAACCCTCGTGCAGTGTTGGTGGGAATGCAAACTGGTGCAGCCATTGTGGAAAACTGCGTGGAGATTCCTCAAAGAATTAAAAATAGAACTGCCCTATGATCCAGGAATCGCACTTCTGGATATTTACCCCCAAAACACACACACACACACACACAAACACTAATTCAGAGGGATACACGCACCGCTGTGTTTATTGCAGCATTATCTACAATTGCCAGACCATGGAAGCAGCCCAAGTGTCCATCACTAGATGAATGGATAAAGAAGCAATGGTGCATATACAAATGGAGTATTGCCCAGCTATAAAAAAGAATCAAATCTTGCCATTTGCAACAATATGGATGGCGCTAGACAGATTACACTAAATGAAATAAGTCAGAGAAAGACAAATACCAAATGATCTCATATGTGGAATCCATGAAACAAAAGCAAACGAGCAAAGGGAAAAAATGAGGGTGAGACAAACCAAGAAACAGACTCTTAACTATAGAGAACAGAACAGACTGGTGGTTACAAGAGGGGAGGTGGGGGGCATGGGGGATGTAGGGGATGGGGTTTAAAGAGTACCCTTATGATGGAAAAAAAAGAAATCGAAGATGATACAAAAAGTTGAAAGATACAGTATTCTCATGGATTGGAAGGATTAATATTGTTAAAGTCCGTACTACAAAAAGCACCCTACAAATTTAGTGTACCTACCAACCTACCAATAAATAGTATTTTTCAAAGAACCAGAGCAAAATATCCTAAAATTTGTATGGAACCTGAAAAGCCCCCAAATAGCCAGAACAGTTTTAGGGAAGTGTAACAAAGCTGATGATATGATAATCCCAGATTTGAAAATATACTGCAAAACTGTAGTAATCAAAACAGTATGGTATGGCACAAAAACAGACGTAGATGAAGGGAAGGGGATAGAGATCCCCAAAAGAAAGCCATGTTTATATTGTCCAAATATCTACAACCAAGCAGGTCAGAATATACGACGTGGAAAAGACTGTGTTCAGTAAATGGTGTTGGGGAAAACTGGACAGCGACCTCCAAAAGAATGAAACGGTGCAGAGAAAGGGGAACCCTCCTGCACTGTTGGTGGGAATGCAAACTGGTGCGGCCACTCTGGAAGAAAGTCTGGAGGTTGCTCCAAACACTAAAGATGGAACTACCCTACAACTCAGCGACTGCACTACTAGGTATTTATGCAAAGGATTCAAAAATACAGATTTGAAGGGGTACACGCACCCTGATGTGTATAGCAGCATTATTTATCATAACCAAGCTATGGAAGCAGCCCAGATGTCCATCGACTGATGAATGGATAAATAAGATGTGGTTTATATACACAACGGAATATCACTCAGCCACCAAAGATGATGAAATCTTGTCATTTGCAACTACATGGATGGAACTGGAGTGTATTAAACTAAGCGAGAAGTCAGAGGAAGATAAATACCATATGATATGAGTCGTGTGGAATTTAAGAAACAAAACAGATGAACATATGGGAAGGGGGAAACAAACAATAAGAGACTCTTAACGATAGAGAACAAGCCGAGGGTTGATGGAGGGAGGTGGGTGGGGGATGGGCTAGATGGGTGATGGGATAGCACCAGGGGTTGTATATAAGTGATAAATGATGGCTTCCACTCCTGAAACCAATATAATGCATATTTACTAACAAATTTAAGTGAAGACTTGAAGGGGCGCCTGGGTGGCTCAGACAGTTCAGCATCCGACTCTTGGTTTCAGTTTGTGATTTCACAGTTCGTGAGTTCAAGCCCCGAGCTGGTATTCTCTGTCCCTCTCTTTCTGGCCCACCCCCACTCATACTCGCTCACTCTCAAAATAAATAAACTAAAACAACAAAACGGGGCCACTTTCTTACAGCTTACACAAAAGTAAACGATATGGATTAAATACCTAAACGTAAGACTTGAAAGTATATACCTCTTGAAAGAAAACAGAGACAGTAAACTGTAAGGACATTAGCCTTAGTGATATTTTTGTGGACTTGTCCCTCAGGGAAGGGTAAAAAAAACAACAACAAAAAACAAAAAAACCCCACACTAAACAATTGGGACTATATCAAACTGAAAAGCTTTTGCAGTGAGGCAACTATCAACATGATGAAAAGGCAACCCTTTGTTTATGGGAAGGGGAGAAGATATTTGCAAATGATGTTTCCAATAAAAGGTCTGTATCTAAAACATAAATAATTCCTACAACTCAACACCAAAAAAAAATTGATTATTAAATGGGCAGAGGAACTCAACAACAGACATTTTCCTGAAGAAGATATTGAGATGGCCAGTAGACATTCAAAAAGCTGTTCAGTATCACTAATCCTCAGGGAAATGCAAATCAAAACCACAATGCGATATCATCTCAGAGAAGATAGATTGGTTAGTATCAAAAAGACAGGAAATAGCAAGTATTGGTGAGGGTGTGGAGACCAGGAAACCCGTCGTTGTTGGTGTGAAGGTAAACTGGTGCAGCCATGTTGGAAAACCATATGGAGCTTCCACAAAAAACTAAACCACAAGTACCATATGGTCCATACATAATTCCACTTCTGGGTAGTTGACCACAGGGGAAAAAAAACTAACACGCAAAGATATGTGCGCCCCCACGTTCACTGTGGCACTAGTTGTGGTATTTAAGATGTGGAAGCAACCCAGGAGTCCATCGACAGATGAATGGATAGGGAAGATGTGGTATCTACATACAAGGGGCATCACTCAGCCGTATAAAATGGATGAAGTCTTGCCATTTATGACCACATGGATGGACTACAGGGTGTCATTCCAAGTAAATAAGACGGAAAGACAAACACCGTGTTGTAACTTAACACGTGGGATCTAAACAACAAAATGGAGGTACAGACAACAAAAAGTAGAAACAGGTGTAAAAACAGGAGATCAACATGGTGTTTGCAAGGTTGGAAGGGGCTGGAGGGACGGGTGAATGGATGAAGGGGATTGAGAAGTACAGAGTTGAGCTTATTAAATAAAGAAGTCTTGGGAGTGAAGAGTGCCACACAGGGAATATGGGCAGTAATATTGTAGTTTGTATAGTGCCCAGTGGTAATTTCACTTATCGTGGTGAGCATTTTGTAATGTATAGAACTGTCCTATCACTATGTTGTACCCCTGACACTAATATTATAGGCCAATATGGTTCCCTCTCCACCCCCCAAAAAAGCCCAGGGGCTCCTGGCTGGCTCAGTCAGAAGAGCATGTGATTCTTGATGTCAGGGTCATGAGTTTGAGCCCCACGTGGGGTGTACAGGTTAGTAAACAAAAAAAACAAAAAAAAAAGCCCGCACTTACCCATCATCAATGACCCTGAAGACGAAAGTCAGGCCCATCTTCCAGATTGCTTGTTGTCCTTCAAATCCTCCCTCCTGCTGAGCTCTTCTCAGGGGCAGGACAGCAGCCACACACACACCATCTAATCTCCCTCCTAGTGGCACCTGGGGCAGTGCAGACAGGCTCCACCGAGGGCCTATGTGCCTTCAGAACAGGCCAACCCTCAGTTGGACCAGGTTCTGGAGAAGGGATTGGGGTTTGGACACATCCATTAGAAACATGACTCGGGGGCTCCTGGGTGGCTCAGTCAGTTAAGCATCTGACTCTCGGTTTTGACCCAGGCCGTGATCTCATGGATTGTGGGATTGAATGCTGTGTCGGGCTCCAGGCTGACAGTGCAGAGCCTGCTCGGGATTCTCTCTGTCCCTCTCTCTCTGCCGCTCACCTGCTCGTGCTCTCCCTCTCTCTAAAAATAACTGAACTTAATAAAAAGAAAGAAACATGACGCAGTCTGTTTGAGAAGGGGGGTGTTTGTCACTTACCTGGCTTCCCTGTTGGACTTTTCATCCATCCTTATGCACATGGTGAGCCTTTCTGTAGTTTTGTTACAGAGGTAGTGTGTCGGTGTGTGTATCTTGCCCAGTTCCTTCCTATTTTGTTTTTCTAAAAATACTGATCTCTGCATTAGTCTCCATCTATATTGAAGTATTTCTGAGTGAACACGTTGCCATTTGATAGTGTTCCTATCATTCCCAAAGTCCCAGATTACCAAGGTCCTCAGAATTTTTCCTTGGTCACCTGACCTTTCTTCCTGATGAACTTCATTTACATTTGAGATCAGTATACGAATGGAAGTCTACGTTCGGTCTGTTTTCTTTCTTTTATCCACTAATTCTTTTCCAGCAAACTAAATTTTGCTACCAAATGTTGCAGATTATTGCATTCGAGTTAATACCAGTGGATCAAGTCCTCAGTGGGATGTTTTGGAGGATGAACCATCTCATGAAGAAAAAATAGTAAGATTTGCAAGAAACGATTCCTGGTCTGTTTTTGGAGAAAACCAGACATTTCGTAGCAGAGGAGATTACCTGCAAACCCAGGAAAGGCGTTTGAGGTGAGTGACACTTGCAGGGAGGAGGAGGGGGGACGTTGGCAGATTGTGAGACTAACTTGAAATTAAAGAACAGCTGAAAACCTAGCGCAACAATTGTGTAATTGGTGGGAAAAATGCATTCTACGTATTGATCATCTGAAACCCCATTCGGTTGGAAACCACGGTCAGGGAAAACTCTACGTAAGAAGCCCTGAATGTTATGACTCTGTTTGAGTCCTCAGCCAGACCAGTAAGCTTGTACCACTTTGTAAGCATGGAGACAGTGCCACAA